TACACTGTCACGTCTCATTTATTATCTTTTTTATTTAAAGCATTTTGATCTAATGATAAATTGTGTTTTGATGACTAGTAAGTTCAATCTCAATTAAAAATACATGAAGTTTTTATGAGTGAATTAGAACATCTGGCCCTTGAAATTAATAGTGAGAGGGTTATTAGACACGAACTTAAGATATTCCAGCTAGTCTTTTCAATCAAAAATTCAATTCTTTCTGACAGAACTGCTTCAGACAACTTCACTGAATTCTATACTTTCTCATTCAGTGACTCAATCCCCCTACTGCCTCATTCCCTTCTAGAATGCATTTTCAATCCACGCAACAAAATACTCACGATATTAAGCAAATTTTACTCTTGTATTCGAGAACACTAATTTAGATGAGCTTTAAAATGTTTGCTTGAACAGAGTCTCAGAGTTAAAGAGCAAATTAGTTTATTGTCAATATCCTGCTAAATCGATATGAGATGCCTTTATACAAAATTATTCCAGTTTTAGAATCACTGAGGAATATACAGGAGAGGGTGGGTTTTTTAATCTGAAAATGGGATTTATATACAAACCTACATTGTTAAAAATAAGCAACAATGTGGTGGTGCCAATCAGGCTGACAATTAGCCTTCCATACTAATTTATTTTATTTCCGTCAATATCTTAAATATATCTATATAAATAGTAGTATCAAAAGAAACACTTTAACAATCTAATATATACATAGAACTCCGACTGAATGAGTGACAATAAAAATTAATTTTATTTATTGAAAAATAGCGAGTAACCAAAATACTGACTTGAGCACAAGTGTTGACATTTATAATCAAGTAGAAAGTTTACAAAACCACCCAGAAAAAAGCTGCAAAATTGGAGTCGACTGCTACAACCGCTCAATTTTAAGAACATGATTGAAAATTGTTGTATAAGTAAAAGTCCCTAGGTAAATCAAAACGTATAATAGATAAAAACGGCCAGAATATTTTTTGGCATCTTGTTTTCGATGGCGTACGTCTACGATAAATATTATTATTATTATTATTATTATTATTATTATTATTATTATTATTATTATTATTATTATTAATATTACTACCATTTTTATTCCACATATCTTTTTTACAAACAACGCATCTGTTTGTTCAGAAAATCAAACCACAAAATTTGTTTTATGATCAGATCATTAGTTATGTTTGACAGTATGGTAATGCAACTTTTGTGAAATATAAGAGAGTGAATTTTATAGACCATCTAAAATTTAAGAATATTACTCGTTTGGAAACTACATAATACGCCACTGGTGCATTCTCCCATGACTGTCACGCACACTGGAGTCTAAAACTGTTTTCAAAAAACTGATTAAAAATATCTGGGAGTCGCAGGTATTTAGGTAATACTTATGAATTTCAAAGTGGTGGCATCAAATATCACCGTCGCGATGAATAACAGAGTAGTTTCTTCTCGGAAAAAATCGATTTAGCTGGAGATATCGTGACTGTTTTCTGTGGAATAACAGAATTACATATTCGAGAGAACAGATACCCTCAAATTTCATCTCGAGTATTCACTCTGAAGGCACGTGTCTTGTCTTTCACGAAAAAAACTTTAATACTCTGAACGGCGACTGTGTTGTATGTAATGGTGACATATGTATCTGACGTGTCAAAGTTAGAGCTCTAACATCAAGGAATTTATATGGGTTAGTCTTTAGTGTTTATTTTTATTATAATCATTATTGTAAACAAATGGATTACTATAAATGCATGGCCTAGATGCAAACGTTATTGGAAGTGCAGAACAAGCGGAAACCTTCACAGGATGTAGTCAGAACGAGCTCTAGAGGAACCCAGTTGTCAACAGTCACTGAGCTGTGGACGAGACCCAGCGGTCAAAGCGGATGAATACAGAACATACCATGTGCAAAAAACGAAAACGCTTGATGGGAAGAGTTGTATAATTGACGATTGACGTGGGTATGGAAAAGTTTTAGCATTCCACCAGTTTTCAATCACATCACGAAATTGAAATGACGGCGATATTATAAAGCAAGTTATGCCACGGAGTACGAAAAATTTGCTGAAGAAACGAAGAAAACAACCATTCCTTTTTTTAAAGGCTAACAGGACGTAAGCCGAACATTATTGTTCTTTTAGTTTTACAGTAAAAAGTTTTTGATTAATTAGTGTTTTCGGGCGCGTCAAAGGTCACTAGTCCCGTAAGCATAATGCACGGTCTTGTGTCGGAGAGGGGACTGCGATCCGGCGCCGACCTACCCGTTCGCTTGCAGGATTGTTTCTCAACCAGACATCTCGGCCAACGGGGCGCCGCCCCAGCCGTGGCAAGCTTCAAGCTTCCGTTTGGTCTCTGGGCATGTGTGGTAGTGAAGTGCATTTAAGGGTGTGTGTATGTAAGGAGTAAGGATAGGACAAGGAAGAGGAACGAGAGATGGCGCGTGGATCGTGGCCCGTTTATTAGGGTACTGCTCCTTCATTCGCATGATATTGATCGAAGAATTCACAGAAGACTACCGATCAGAGCAGCCGAGTGCTAGAATTTTCTTCCAGTAATAGGCTGTATTCGACGTAGATGGATAGGTTCGTCATTGAAGCTAAAAAGCTTGCGTAGAAAATTCTACCACCGTCGGAACTCGAGCCCTTGGACCTTCCGGTCAGAGGCACTGCAGTGAAATCAATTGATGTTCTGAGCCACATATGCCAGGCTTTACAATAGAAACTTTTACAAATGTTTTGAATGACTGTGATACGGAAATTAATATTTCGACCTGATCGTTTTTTATATTGAGGACCGTAGTAATAGATGTAACAAAATGTATGTTGTCCACTGCATTAAAGAAGAAGTTTCAAAGTAGAGTAAAATTGTATAAAACGTCCACAGTAAGGTAATAGTTCTTATATACATCAACTGGACCCGTGAGAAGTTTTCACACAAAATGTGAAAATACCTCCGAACTGAAACTTAACTTCGAATGTTTATAGAAATCCGTGTTACGAAGCAAGGGTTCTGTCCAAAAATGTAATGAAGTCCATTAATGTCTCATTTTGTATATTTCGGCGTAAAAGAGATAGCTCGTGCCCCTTTGTGATAAAATAATATGATAACAATTTTAAGGGCCTATGTGACCCACTGAGAATCAGATTTTAGTCGGATCGCCATTATATGAATAGTTAGAATTACATAATCAAATATTTGCACTTTTCAGATCTGCCATCACCTAGACAACCAAATGTAAAGGAGAACGTATTCTGAATATGCATGTATTACCCTATTATTATTATTACTATTATTATTATTATTATTATTATTATTATTATTATCATCATTATTATTATTATTATCATTATTATCATTATTATTATTATTATTAGTGTTAGTATGAAGTATTATTATTTTAGTCGAATTGTTCCTGTATTGAATTTTATGCATGAAAATGTACCACACCATTATTGGTCTATGTGATTAATCATTCTCACGGGGACAAGCCACAAATGAACAATCCACAAGAACCAATCGAAGAAGAAAATTTAAATCCATTCACTCCAAATGACCAGAGCATATTACGAACTCTCGCACTACTATGCTGCTATACAATATTACTATCTATTGCATCTGATCCATGAAAATGGTAATTCCAATATTTAGATTGCATGCATTCCGAAATACATTTCCGTATTAGTTCATAGTTCAAGTTCGCATGGTTATTGGAAGGATGCCGACGCTACAATTCCTACTTTAATCCTGAAGCAACACCTGGATCTCGCCATAGCACGTCACACACAGTTTTTAGCTGTTTTTGATGTAAATAAAAGCCCTTGCGACCACAGTTCTTTGTTTAGCCAGTTTTACACAGAAATATCTCATCAATTTTGTCGGAAAAGAAAAGGACTAACTAGATGGGGTGAAATTTATACATTGAGTCATGCTTCTTTACTCGGTACAGATATCATTTGAGGATCGCTCACCTGGTGTTACTTCTCGGATCTTTCTCTGGGATGCTACGCGTCCGATGCAATTTTTGATCCTTTTATGCAGTTTCGGAAGTGTTTTACTATGTCAAATTTGTATGTATAGTAATTAAGTAGTAAGAAATAAAACATGTAATGTGATCTAATGTCGTCTCGCTTCGTTCTCAGTCCTAGCATAACTAACTTCATTTGTTACCATACATGCTTTGTTGAACTGCGTGATTTGCAATGCATTTTTCGGCGACCAAAGGAAATATTTCAATCACGATTACGAGCAGAAAACGAAATGACCGCTTAAAACGCTTTATCTCGTTCATTCCGTTTTGATAACGAAACAGTACCGCGCAGTAACGAACGTCCCTTTTAGAGCCATTTTCTGTACAGAAATATGTTGAAAAAATGACTGTGTAAAACAGGACTTTTGAATTGTCTAGTAGTAACAGAGTGCAAATGTTATTGCTAACGAGGGCAAAACCGAGTTGCTGCGATATTTTCTTGTTATTGTTTATAACTACGTAATATATCAGGACAACTATTCCGAAATACAGTCTGTATTGGTGCTTTTGTTGCACTTGGCACTTTTCAGACAATATTGGGGAAGAATATTTGCATTTTGAGATATAATGGAGCTCGAGTTCTCACTTTCGTACTAATTCGTTCTTCGGATTATTCGCACAGGAACGATTCTACCCTGATTATTGTGTGAAATGCAGTGAACCAAGACACTACATCAAAAATCACACAATTCACAAAAATCACACTATCAAAGATGTGTGGTATGTTTCCATGCTATGCACCATACATTCTACATAAATCAACCATCATTGCCTGCGAAAATGTCTCTTAGAAAGTGTCGTAATTACATTATTATTATTATTATTATTATTATTATTATTATTATTATTATTATTATTATTACAATTTCAGATTATTTCAAATTTCCGGTGTTGCCAAGTACAATTTTCAATGTACTTGAAAGAGAATAAATGATTGTCAATATTTCGCTGCCGGGGGACTCACCATGAAGAAGCAGCCGCGGGAGACGCGGTGGCACGCGCGCACCTCGTGCAGGTGGTCCTCGAAGAGCGGCGCGTCCAATGAGGGGTCCGTCTCGGCGCCAAAGTGCATGTCCACCAGCTCCACCTGCGCACCAAAACACACGCGCTGCGTCAGCGCCTTCGCGAAATGCGCCTCGCCCTGCCACCTCCGCGCTCGCTTGTTACGGCTCTTGCTTTGAAGGCGCTTTCGCTTCGCACGTGTTTGAAGGGTCGGGGAAATGTGTTGTTCTGCAATCTTTTTAAAGCGTTCCACGCTTCACGTTCCAAAGCGCATGTGACAAAGGAAAATATAACAAATTTTTGAGAGGGTGAGAATTCACTTGACAGTTGCAAAATGAAGGGGTCAGCGCCATTGTGGTCTAAGTCAAATTTTACGAAAACGGAGAAAAACCATTTTAGAGTTACATAGCTGGTGTTAGAGTTGCGAAGAGAAGTTGTTGCGAAGTTGTGGCAAATTTTACGAAAACGGAGAAAAATCATTTTAGAGTTACATAGCTGGTGTTAGAGTTGCGAAGAGAAGTTGTTGAGAAGTTGTGGCATAGTTGTGGTTTAGAGCTGTGAAGAGATAAAAACAGTGACTTCATTCAGAGGAAAACTAGACAAACTAACAATGCACAAAAATAGTTGACCTTTACAGAAAACAATGTTACCAATAACTCATTTTTCACTTTATTGATGTTAGAACTCTATTACACTCAGTCCTTCAATTAGAACACTGCTTTCCACGACTGCAATAAAATTTGCTCTTCGAAACGTGTTCTCTGTACGAGAAAAAATCCTGAAAAAATTATTTTCAAAACCATTTAATGAAATCAAATGACTTTACACTGCCTCTCTATTATTTACACATCATGTTGCGACAATTAAAATGGAATAATAAAAATACTACTATACTGAGAGCAGTCTTGAAAGGCTGAAAACGCCAGTTCACTTCTCGAATAGGCAACCCGTTTCACAGAAATGTACTGCAGCTCGCATCTCTATACAGCGGTCCTCGCCGGAAGCTGCCACTGTTATTTACAATCCTTTTGGAAACAATTATGCTTGACACTTTGTGTCCTATGAACCATATGTGATGCCCATTAATTATTTATACATCATCATTATATATAATGATTCCCGTTTAGAACTCCTCTTAATGATATGTTTATAAATCAGACATGGGTCTTCCGATTTCAATATTTGGTGAACTTGTACTACCAAACAGGAACCATCGACATATGTTACAAATCGATTGAATATTCATTTTAGACACAAAAAAATATTATTGTTGTTGATTGCGTTGATTTCTGAGGACCCCTATAAACTTTGTGTGGGATCCGTCATCGTGTTGATTATGCTCATATAACAGACACACTAATATTTAAGCGGCCGTTGTGTGAAATGTGTGTAATGTTTTTATGTATCATTATCAATTAATCATTTATTTCTGTGCCCCAGGTTTGAGGACGACCGGACGAGACATGGTGTCAATGACGACATGGAAAAAGTACTAAAGGACAAAGAACAATGCAGTTAGTTTCTGAATTTTTTGAAGGGCAAACACTTGTACGGTTGTACATAAAAATGTGCATAAACTGGTCAATATTGCGATATGAACGTTCTCCCTCCCCAACGTATATACGCTAATAACCTTTGTAGTTGATGCGACATAAAATAAATAAATAAACAAACAAACGAATATTTATTTAAATGCTAGTATCAGAAAAAATAAAAACAGATTATAATTTCATTATAAATGTATCTCTTGTGGCAGAATAGTTAGAAAGACAATAATCATCAAACTGTTTTTCACTAATCACAAATTGGGATTATGGATGAGAAAGCTAACATTTTACCAACATAACATCAATTCAATTCACGCCTCATTTTCCGTGGCGAGGCTCTTCCTAAAAGGCTTTTTATTCCATTTTAGGTTTGTCCCACCGTATATGATTTCTGATGAATAGTGTGAAAAATAAATTCTAATTATTATTATCCTGATTATCACGAACGAGATACTCATCACACACCAAATAACAAGTAAAAAAGCATTGAATTACATGAAATGGCCCTGGCACAACGCAATCACCATACTGCACTGAATAACATTGTCAAAACCTATTTCGCACAGTAAGTCGTGAATAACAAATCCTTACTCTGCAAAATTGACAGATTTATTGGAAGTTCAATAGAAAAACGTGTCGAAAAATTGTCAGACGTGACTGTGGGATGAGGGAACGTAGAAAAGGAAACAAAGAACGTAATTCACATGCACAAGCAGTATACTCTAACTCTAACGCTTACTCTAACAGCTGCAGCAAAGTTGTTTGCTTCCTGTCACTTCTCTTTTTGTCTGAGTGAAGAAGTGCCAAGATCTGAACGTTGTTAATGTGTTCTTTGCTATTAAAGTGGCAAGACAAGGCGCCTTTAAAATATATCAGAAAAATTGAAACAAAATGTATAGCAACCATAGTTGGCGAATTTATCAGTTTTTCAAATAAATGCTTAGATAGGTGAATTTTCAGCTGCCATATCAAGACGAAAAATTAATTACAGACTATGGCAAATGGCACAATTATTAATATACAGAGAAAGAGACCTTTCAGATAAAATATACACAACCAATTTCTCCTAAATTAGATGAACTGGTTTCTTGTGTCATGAGCACAAACACTATTTCAGCTCAGTAGTTTTTTGACCATTTCTTTTCTCCAAAATTGTCTAGAAAGTTGTCCTTAAACACGTAGATGATATTTTTAATTATTTCTCTAAAACTACATTTTAGAATACAAAAGGCAAAAAACGAAAATGTGAACTGGCGATATTGGGGTGAAAATTACGACCGCGCTCTTTTTGTGAGGCCCTATACATTGGTCCAGAGCTGTCTAGCCGACTGCGGTCAGAATTGCAATGATTTCACTGTTTGCAAATGACCTTCCAAGTCTTCACTGGCACTTTAAGTATTGATTTTGCAGCGAGTTGTCGTTGGAATTTAATATTACATAACTGTAGGAGTTGCCATTACCAACAATATTAATTATTTCAATAGCATCTTTCGATGGCTTAGCCATCACCATCAGCTTCCTGCTGTACAGAAGCCACAATCGACTAGGTAGTCTTTTGCGGTTTTTGTACAGCAGTAAACTGATGATGATAGCTGAGACATTGAAAGCTGTTATTCAAATAAATAATATTGTTGGCAATGACAACTCCTATAATTATATCACTTTAAGTCTTGAAAATGCGCACAAAATTCCGTACAGTGACATACAAGCTGCAAAGAAATTGGAAAATTCCAACAACAAAGAAACAAAATTTTCTACCGAAACCTACGTTCCTGAGGCAAAAAGGTTCAGGGATTATTTATTGACAATGTGACTTTCTTTTGCATATGCAATGGAATACCCTTTATGTGTTACAAATTATGAGTACATAAGGCAAATATATATCTCCATCATGCAATGGTACTTTTACCAGGTCTTTATATTGTCTCGGTCTATGTATATTGATGCATCTAAAGGAGAACGTAAAAGCGTTCCTCTGGTTTATGGTATAGCCAATAGATAGTGCCAAATTTTTGTAATTATTTATGCTAAATTTTTGCACATAATTATTGTCATAGTTCAACACACTCCTATTATTCACGCTTTACAATTTGCTGCAATGTCAGTAAATAAGTTAAATGACAAAGAGTCAAAATGCAATCCAAGACCCTTACTGTTCTACGACTCCGCACTCCAGAGAATCTCCCTTCAAACGGCGACTTCGTTTCTCGTGGGAGGAAGTCGGGAACCTCCAAGAATGAAACTACCACCCTCGCGCCCCTTAAAGGCGCGCGCGTAAGCATTCTATGCGCCAGGTAACCATTAGGAAGGCCCTAATTCACGGAGAGGTTGTTTAATTATACGCTTCTTCCCTTCAGAGGATTAATTATAGAGGCGAAGTGAATACAGCGAAAAGGAAGTGGAAAGTCAACTCTTTCCGGAGCGAGGATTGAGGGTCAGTACCGGTCGGGCGAGACGCGATAAAATGAGGAAATAAAGGATTGAGGCAGAGAGAGAGAGAGAGAGAGAGAGAGAGAGAGAGAGAGAGAGAGAGAGAGAGAGAGAGAGAGTGAAGAGAGGATACGACGATACTCCTTTTGTAAGAAGAGACAGATGACGTGGTATGTGAAGATTTGGCATCATTAGTGACTGGTCCAAATAGATTGCGAGTATTGTGCTCTTGATTTAATAATAATTTACAGAACAAGTGGGCATTCCGTTCCGGATAAGCTGAAGCTGGTGCAACTAAGAAGCTTTCTTAGTTGATAATGGCGAATTACTCCGTTTCTCTTCGTTAAGGAGATTATTAATACACAGAGTGAAGTTGTAGGTTTCCGAGGTCACAGCATGTGGCGTTTAAAGGTCAGACGAGATCATTTGTGGTTGAGGAGGAATGAAAATTATGGAGCAACAAATTATTTTTACATTTCTAAACATGACATATAAACTCATGTTTGATTTTCAATAGGCATTGAAATATCTAAATTTTTTATATAAAGGAAAGGCATGAAAGTGGACGTCTGTGGAGATGAATAAAAAAAGTGAAGTTTTCAGGGCGTAATTCTTGTAACGCGTAACGCTAGATTGTCATTGTCATTGTCAATTGTCAGATTAAAATTAGTACACTACTTCAAGCTATAATAATAATAATAATAATAATAATAATAATAATAATAATATAATAACAATAATAACAATAACGATAATAATAATAATAATAATAATAATAATAATAATAATAATAATAATAATAATAATAATAATAAGATTGTCGTTTTCGACAAAACTACTCGCAGGGCAATGATAGATATCGAAGTCTTATTAGATTCTACTGTCAACAATTGCAGAAAAGAAATGAAAATACCAGCTACTCTCAAGTGAAATGAAAAACGTATATAAGTTAATGGAGGCAGATATTCTACTCGTTATTTCAACTAATGGAATTGTTTGTGAAGATTGGAGGATTGTGAAAGAGAAACTTCATCTAAATGAATGGCACTTCAGTACCGTGGAAAAGGCGGTGTTGCTGACAACCTCCAATATTGTGCGTAAGGTTCTC